CGAAATAAATTAAATGAAATGAAATACTGCGACGCCGCTAGACACCACTCTCGCAGTTTTACAGTTGGAGCAGTGGAGAACAATGATCATGACGTAGCCTCAATCAGCGTACCTACAAAGAACATATCTGAAGGCGAAGAGTGTGCCGTCGCTCGGGCGATTTCCCACGCTGCCATAAACCTTCCTCACGCAGATGTTATTCTAATCTTTACAGACTCAATGGATACCTGCCGTGCCTTCACACGGGGTATTGTCTCACAGCACACACACCGAATTTTGAACACCACATTCCACACACCACACAAGTTCCGACTTGTCTGGACTCCTGGGCACGCCTCTCTCCCCGGTCATGACTGCGCTCATGCAGCTACCCGGGCACTCACCAACCGGGATCCGGAGGAAGAGCTGTCCAACCCAGATGAGGAGGACACAAACACGGAACTTCTAGGATATCGAGACACTCCCGATTACTATAGACGAGAACGCATTCGGTACCCTCCAGCACACCACACACTCACACGAGAAGATGCAACTGCGGTGCGTCAAGTGCAGGCGAATACTGTTTCTGAACCTCTATTTCCTCCACATCCTCCATCCCACTTCTTACCCTGACTAATGCCCTGGCTGTCGAGCGGTACCGATGTTATTTTCCGTAACGCTGGAATGTCAGCGTCCGCCAGCCAGGCGCTCTGCCAACTCCTCTCCTATTCCTACCCTACAAGACTGGGAGGCCAGGCTGCGTGATAAAAGCCCAAGGGCCAGCGGGCGCGGGACGCAGCAGCGGCTGTTGGAGCTCTGGACTGAGAGCCCCACCCGACATTTTTCTATGCTTGAAATAAAAAGTCTCTCTCTCCAGATTGATGTCACGAGTCAAGCTGCCAGTGATCCCCTCTTCGGAGAACATTGCAGAGCACTTGAGCAGGACTACTATGTTTTTTAGTTGAGCAGGCGATTGGCTGCAGCACTTTGACTGCCTGGACAATAAAAGTGCTTCTCGTTACTTCTCGTAACCTCTCGTTAATGTGCTCTGTGGACTAGGCTTGTGTAAATATTCAAGCACTTTAAATATTTCTTCAATTCGGCTTGAGCTTGAGATCAAAGTGGATTGCCTCTGCGGACTTCTTAAGTTGTATCAGACTGTAGGTAAACGTAAGATGCCCGAGCTAGCGTTTTGTGCTAGCCATGGGTCAGTCTCATTTCTGGTGACTCCTGCTCCAGTGGTAACATGGTGGACATGACTAGCCTACCAGAGTTCTTTTGCCATGTAAACAACGATTCTCCCTCATGTTGCTGCCTCACCGTGAGAGCACACACCACCACCTCAAATGGTATCTCAGCGACAGCCTTTGGTCATCTGCGCTCAAGCCCTGTTCTCCATCCCCACAGAAGAAACACACACAGGCATGCAGCGCATTAGTTACATGGCTCAGCAACTTCTCGTTAATGTGCTCTGTGGACCAGGCTTGTGCAAGCACTTTTGAGTACTTAACAAATATTACAGTATTAAAACTCACTTTGATTGGAATTTAAGTTATTGGAAATTTCTTAAATGAACTAACACCTATACATCGGTCTGCATATACCCCCCATCCCCCTGATGTAAGGGTGGTGTCACTGCAGTGGGGAGTGCTTTGCCATGAATACACACACACACAAAAAAATCTACACTGCCATGAAGCTCCACTATTAGGTTAAATGAACAAACTATTCTCACATCGATTCATCATTTTTCAAGTTGAGAAGCTTGTTACGCTGGCTTTATCTAAAAACGCTGCTAGAAAGGGCAAAGGAGCCCGTTTAAAATTCTTATTTCAAATCATTAACAACAGTTTCAAAACAAACATGTCGAAGTACTTTCATTTTCTGAATCCTAGCCTACGTGCCAAAAGCATGCCAATAAATTAACAGAGTATTCATATAGTAATGAAACTTTTGAACATTCCTTTTTTCTACTTGCCATTAGAGAATGAAATGAACTACACCCAACTAACGCAAACACCAAATCATTCATGAAAGTTGTCAATAAGATAGAAGACACAAACAACTAATGCTCGACACTTACAGGACATGCCTACAGGCTCATTCCTTGTTTTTATATTTATTTTTTTACTAGAATATTTTTCGTGGGATGTGGCATTGCTGTTTCACATTACAAAGTCCTGTCTGAATAGTGCGATAAATGTATTCGATGCATATATTTTGGTAAACACTATTTGTGTTGGGGGCAAAGCTCTTTAAGCCGTGGGTCATGCATCCCCGATGTATTCAGTAGTAGTAGTAGTAGTAGTAGTAGTAGTAGTAGTAGTAGTAGTAGTAGTAGTAGTAGTAGTAGTAGTAGTAGGTAGCCACCTCTCGTTTAGTCCTTGGAATGTCCGCTGGATGGCGGTACTTGTATATGATGAATATATGATGAAAAGATGCGAGATGGCGGTACGAGTATTCACCAGTTGGACGGACGGGCGGGGGTGAACGGACAGACAGAGACAGATGGATGCATGCACAGATGCACGGACGAACGAAAGCACAGGCAGATGGACACACGGACAAAAGCAAGTACGGACGGAAGCAAGAAAGGAGACTGACGGACACTTCGCCCCGCTCATCATAATTCACTCTGTAGATATGCTATAATTTTTTTGTATAATATTTATGGTAACCTCCTGTCCTACAGTAGTTAGGTATTTGATTATTCCGGAAATGCGTGATATATCACACTTACTTTTTGTATTGCCCTCCTGCTATGCTCTCAGATGAAAGCAGCAGTATTCGAAATACTAAATAAATAAAATAAATATGCTCTAAGTATAGCAAATTTTAAAACATAACTTATTTTACAGCTTGTCACTTGCCTTCTACACTAAATCAGACCGTGTTGCTACTTGCTTCCACTTGCTTTGAAGCAGAAAAAATGACATTTGCATATGCCTTATTTCAATATTAAAAAGTTTTGTGCAGGTTAGTTGGGTCATGACAAATATGCTTTTTTATATGTGATATATATTATTTGCATTTGGTTTGAAATTATTTGATCAAATTACTATTCGCTTCGAACCTAAAGTTTACGATTCACACAAGCCTACTGGATACACATTCTTTGCTTTCTCAATGGCTCCACAGATGCACATGCTCTAGAGGTGTTGGGATGAGCCTTTTCTTGCCCACAGGCCAAGACTACTGCTCTAAGTTATGACCTGGGTTAACAAATCCGTGTTTGTTAAAGGGACACTAAAGAGCAAAATGATTTTTTTCAGATTAGTAAATTGCTTTCATGGTACCAAAAACAACACGCTTGCTGCAAGAAAACGCGCAAAATGAAAGGTGTCGGTTGCAACACCACTTTGAAGTTCCCACACGATTCTTCGTGATTCCACCTATTTTAACGTTTGCTGCCGGGGCTTACGTAGTTCACGGTGAGTAAAAATGAAGTGAAGTGTCCTGTGAGGGGGCCATAGACCTAACCTACCAAGTATAAGGAAATTTTGTTGAGCCTACGGCCCCGAAATACTACAAGTACAATTTGTAATCCGTGACGTCACGTGCGAAGATTCAAGCAAGAAACCTAAAAACGAAACCTCTATGAATAAGCGTATGATGATCAAATTAACAACATTAGATTTCTCGGAGTACAATGTATCAATCTAAATAGTTTGGGTGTTCCTCTTTAGTGTCCCTTTAAAACTGTATTGGACATTGGAACTGAAAAATGGGGCAAGTGTTACAAAAAACCACGTGACCTTAATGAGTTTAACAAAAATCAAGGTTTGAGGAAGAATCAAAGGCAGGCATTCTCCGTGATAGTCAAGTATTCTACCACACAGCCATGCCTGGGCTTCGAACCACTTTTGAAAAAAGACACTACTATGCAGTCGTCAAGTTAATAGTGTGGTAGAAGTGTAAAGTGTGGTAGAAGTGTAGAAGTGTGGTAGAAGTGTTAACAATGTGTAGTGATCTGTGAGGGTGTTTCAAGGTTGCTGACCACTGGGCACTACCATAATTCACCACCAGTAACTGAAGCATTGGCAATGCATGCAGCTACTCTCATCGGATGATAACACTGCATGACTTTCACCCTCAAGTGGTCTCAGGGGAATGCTTTTTCTTGACAATTTGCTTGTGGTGGCCTTTGCGACCTGGATCAGACAGTTGACAAAACTGGTTTAAGGGCATTGTGGGAATTGCGAAAGCTTGCCCTCATGCCCTTATCTCACGGTAGAAAGGAAGGGAGGATCGTACGTCTCGGCTAGCCTCGGGCTTCACTTGGAACAATCCTGCTGTAGTTACCGGACGCACAAAGGTCACTGCAATCATTGCAGTCTCCGTTTGTGAAAAACACGCGCTTTTCAGACACAGTGAAATAACAACCGAGACACTTATTCGCGTTCATTTGTAGCTGTGAGTGCGTCTGGTGCGTCATTTGTGCGTGAGAAATGCGGGGCATTTTTCGATCTGCTTTCCATTCTGCGCGTGACCTTCCAATTTGTTGATATCACATTTATTGCTTCGCCTTTGTGATAAAGCTGTGAAATTTTTATGCTTTTTGAACTCAAAACAGTGCACAAGCAGACGATCTGGGTCCCTGTTATGCGATAGGAATTGTGCAAGCTCAGACTATGAAGAAACAGCCTTATTTATTTCATTAATGTGTTGGGTGTGTTTTATTCTTGCAGATAATTTTGATTTCAATTGTGTGATGTGACTGTTTTACTCATAAGTGCACAAAGGTCCGAAATGCAAATTGAAATTACGCGCGCTGGGCACACCATCCAATCATGGTGCCCTACTAGTGGCATCATCACAAAAGTAACCACCACTCTCCCATTTGTTTTCTGTGAAGACGGCACACTGCCCCATTCCAGTAAACCAACCTTTTGTTCACTATTATTAGTAATAGGTATGATAATGTCTGTTTCTCATAACTAATTGCCATGAAATTACTGTGCCACAGGGCTGCGCCTCATGTCGATGCTGCTCATGAAAATCGACATCTGTGCAAGAACAAATTGTGGAATCATCAAACATTCAGTTGTTTTATTCGCATGGGTGGTATCGTAAAAAGCAAGTCACACATTTTTCTTTCACACTTGAAAATATTCAATGAGGAATAAAAGCACAACATTTATCCTACACAATCTCCAGCATACATTTACATGTTCATAACCTTATTTACAGCAATTGCAGTAATATTTATAAAGCCTAACAAAAATAATTTACATGATTATCACAAACAAGGAGCCAACCCCGCTTGAGCTGACGGGACACTGCATGAACTGAAGGCTGGAGATTTTTGCGATTCATCGACCATGCTGTAATTTAAAAGAAGTGCACTCGCTAGAAAACCATGTGTGGCAGATCACTGAGGTCACCACCCATGCCGCCTCCACCGCATCCACCAGTCGAAGGTCCACCATCAAAGGAGTCACTGCCGTTGTGACTCTTGAATGACCAACGGGCACGCTTGCTTTTTGCTTCTTGCTCCTGCATACAAAAACAGCAACAGGGCTTTCGTGAATCTTGCATTATAATAAAAACAAAATGTGTGCAGCACCTAAGTGTGGTTAACCTTCATTCAGCCCCACAATCAATCTCATGAACTAAAGAAGTAGAAAATTCTTTTTTATTTGAAACAATATTGAGACAATGATGCCAAAAAAGAAAAAAAACGAGCTTTTAAATTTCCTCCTTCATTTATAGCGAGGGTCTCGTACTGGCTGACATCAATTGATGCCTCCAGGTAAAGTATGCGAAAGACCATCAGCCAGCTGTCTGCTTGTATTAATATCACATGCCACGTGACGCCAACAGGCCAAAAAAAAAAACACTGGCTGTCAGTATTGGTGCTGATTAACGCATCTAAATGCACCCCCTGTAAATTTAGATGAGGAAATGACTGCTGCTGTGGCTTAGTTGCTTGAGCAATGGACGCATTATTTGGAGATTGCAGGTTCGGGTCCCTGCCAGCAGCAGTTATCTTTTCGTTAACTTTTCGTTCTGCACATTTACATTAAAACTGTACTACTAATGACATCCCCTATACCTTCCTTAACATCATTGTCTGTTGGATCACATTAACAATTCATTCCAAGGAGTAAGTAAAATCTAATGATGCCAAGAAAGGTATAGGAGACATTGTAGTGTTTACTCTAATGTATTAACTATAAACCGAATGGAAAGTAATTATAGTGGATGAAAAAACTACCAAACCTAACAACTTCGGATATTGCATCCATTGCTCTACCATTTGAGACACGATGGCGGCCTTTACTTCCACGGTCCATTTTATTGGGTATGTGTGTGCGCATAATCCTGACAACCAGCAACAGTCATGGCCAGTGCTGCCACTAAGGAATTACTCATCACAAAGGAAGAAGATGCATAATAAATTTTCCTATTCTTGACAATGTTTGTAGTTAATAAAAAGAATGTGACAAAATATAAAGGGGAGTTTAAAAAAAAATCACACAGCTGTTTTGTACAGCAATAATATGAGCAACTATGGACAAAAGCACTTTCAAACATTGTCTCCACGGTAGTCGTTCCATTCGGTTGAGCGCACGTTTGTCAGTGCAATGTACCGTATTGCCACGTTCCATTTCCCAAGTTTTTGTTATCGTCACAAAACACCACACGATTCTCAGCGCAAACCGCGCCTGCAGTTTTCGAGAAGGTTCCGGATCGGCCCGCTGTCGTTCAGCGAAGTCGTCGGTAGTTATCGTTCCCAAGAAGTAGTCGTCATCCGAGTCGTTGGGTAACGGTTGGTAGACAGGCGCACGAGAGAGACAGTCGGCGTCGGAGTGTTTTTTGCCGGACTTGTAAATGACAGTAATGTCATATTTTTAAAGTCTCAGGCTCCATCGTGCGAGGCGACCTGAAGGGTCTTTCAAGGTGGCTAGCCAACACAAGGCGTGGTGGTCGCTCACAACTTTGAAAGGCGTGCCGTAAAGGTAGGGGCGAATATTCGACGTAGCCCAGATGATGGCGAGGCACTCCTTTTCTGTTGTGGAATAATTTGCTTCTGCTTTGGATAGCGATCGGCTGGCGTAACTAATAACCCTTCAAGTTTTTTTTGTTGCCATTTTGTTGTACTTATCAACATGTCATTTTCTAACAGGAGGTCCCCTTTCAGCCTTGTGCTATGGGACCTCCTTCTGTATATTCTACCTCAATGCGTGTATATATTTTAAGTCAGTCAGCCCTCTGCACAAGAACGGCGCCAAGACCTACGATGCTTGCGTCAGTATGTATTTCTGTCTCGGCGAATTCGTCGAAATGGGCAAGTAACAGAGGCGTCTGGAGGCGATGTTTAAGCTCCTGGAAAGCGTGTTCCTGTGGCGTTTCCCACTTGAACTCCACGTCGGCCTTGGTAAGGTTAGTGAGAGGGTCGGCGATGCGGGCGAAGTTTTTCACGAACCGCCTATAATAGGCGCACAGGCCCAAAAATCGGCGCACGGCTTTCTTGTCAGTGGGCGGCGGGAAGTCGGCGATGGCGGCTGTTTTCTGTGGATCGGGACAAACTCCAGACTTGCTGATAATGTGCCCCAGAAACAAGAGCTCCTCATACGCAAATCTGTACTTTTCTGGCTTCAGTGTGAGTCCGGAAGTCCTGATGGCTTGAAGTACAGCTTCAAGGCGCCGAAGATGCTCGTCGAAACTCGAGGAAAACACGACACGTCGTCCAAGTACACAAGGCAAGTCTGCCACTTCAATCCTGCCAGTACTGTATCCATAACGCGTTGAAAAGTTGCAGGCGCTGAGCAAAGGCCGAAGGGCATCGCCTTAAACTCGAAGAGGCCGTCCGGTGTGATAAACGCCGTCTTCTCTCGGTCTCTTTCGTCGACTTCGATTTGCCAATAGCCAGTCTTGAGGTCCATTGACGAAAAGTACTTGGCGTTATGGAGCCGATCAAGTGCGTCGTCTATTCGTGGGAGAGGATACACGTCCTTTCTTGTGATTTTGTTCAGGCGGCGATAATCGACGCAGAAACGTAAAGTCCCATCCTTTTTCTTCACTAACACCACGGGGGATGCCCATGGACTCTTGGACGGCTCGATAATGTCATCCCGCAGCATTTCATCAACTTGTCTCTTCATGGCCTCACGTTCTCACGTCGAAACCCTGTACGGACTCTGACGGAGTGGTCTGGCATTTTCTTCGGTTGTGATGCGATGTTTCGTGATTGGGGTATGCCGAATTTTCGATGACGACGAAAAGCAATCTTCGTATTGCAGGAGCAGGGCCTTGAGCTGTTCTTGCTTTCTTTAACTTCGCGGCGAACGACCCACTGATGACAGAATAGTCGGCTCCAGTATCGACGAGAGCGGTCACACTGTGGCCGTCGATAAGAACGTCGAGGTCGCTAGTTCGCCGTCTCGCATTACTGTTAGGGCGTGGTGTCCGGTCACGGCTGCGTCGGCTTGTTCCGCTGCTTCCATGTTGCGTCGTCAGGCCACCTTCGGTAAGTGAGCTTTCGCCGTCAGGGCTTTGCCTGGTTGGCGTTGTGTTCAGAAAGCTCCGTCGCGGCGTCGTCGTCGTCTGTGCGAGACTGCTGCTGTAATTGGACTTTCTGTTTACCGGGCACAGGTTCGCCCAAATAAACAGTTAAATCCCAACACAAAGTCTCCTGTCTTCGGCCACATCACGACCTCGTGACAGTATTTACTTGCATAATGAACGCACTCGCATAATAAACGCACCCCCAACTTCAGTCATCAAAATTTGTTTTTTTTTTCTCGTGTAATAAACGCACTACCTTCATTCATTGGCTGCAGTCCTGCTAATCAACACCTGGCGCCTCCTCACCCGTTGGATTTCTTCCGTTCTTTATTATTTTGTCAACCCCCCCGGCCATTTCGGCTCGCTCCCTCTCCCCTTCACCTGTTGCTGCATGCCGTATTGTTTTTATTTTTATCTGTGCGCGGAACTTTCCCCGTCTTATCTGTCCGCCACAGCGGGGTTCAAAAACGGTGCGAATGTAGACATCGCAGCTGATAAACACGCAGCCAGCGAGCGAAGGTCACGAAGCCGCCTGCGCCAACCAATGATCGCTTCCTGCAAATACGAAAAAGCCCCGCCACGCGCGTGCGATTTTTGAGCAACAACGACAGGATTTGCTGCTGTAAAGGATCATTTGTCGCTACTGCGCCGCAGGTTTCTGGAAGACCAGAAAAAAATAGCTTGTCGTCCAGAAAAGACCGTGACAATTTCCGCCACTTGGTAGCACCCCCGATTTTCGTTTCGCTTGTTAACCGCGAGTAGAGGAACTTTTCATGTTGAAGCGAAATGACGACCGTATTTTGTCGTTAATCTTGTTATCAACGGTTTGTTTTGATGCTTTGGGGGTTGCTAGCTGCAATGTTGGTTACTTGCTACAATATTAATGGCATCATCTTGGTCGTCGTGCGAGGTTGCCGCAAAGTTGGCAAAGTGCGTCGTAGCATTTTAGCACACACTTTTAGGCACTCCTCGAGATCACAGCAGATATTGTAGTTAAATGATTGCGAGAAAAGATAGTCGCAACACCCTCTTATGGCATGCATGGGCGGCCGGAGACAGCTTGCAGAAGATAGTGCCATCAACTATCGAAGCTGAGTAAAGCGCAACAAAGACGCTGTTTCCAAACAGTGTACGCATATGTCAACTGCGAAAACCTAAGCAACCTAACGTTTTTTTTTGCATTACCGCATTTTTTTGCTCCTCCTGAAAAAGTTTTCATAAGATTTACCCCGTGTAATAAACGCACCCCCCAACTTTGCTGCAATTTTTCGAGAAAAAAGTGCGCTCATTACATGAGTAAATACGGTATGTTAGAACGCTCAACCATTGGCGGTTGCTCGAGGGGCGGGTCAGGGGGAGCGTCTGCGTCTCTCTAGCCACCTTAAAGAGGAAATCCAGCAATTTTCGAATACTTGCCGATTTCAATAAAATTTCGACCATGTGTTTTCGTAGGTATCATGATGATATGTGCCAAACTATACAACCATAAGCCATCTAGTTGGAAAAAAAAAAACAATTTTAAAAATTGGTGGCCGATTCTATACTCACACTCATAAACGCAGGCCACCCTGTGTATGTGATGTAAATGCATACTCTTTTTCAAAGCCCCGCCTTAAAGGAATGCAGCATGCATTTTCTACTGCAAGGTGAGCACGACACGAGTACAATTGAGTTTTGTCAGCTGCATAACTCGTGTTAGTCATCAGTGACATCGGGTCTTACACTAACCCCCGTATTAAAAAACACTCCTTGACTTGAACTTGACTTGCCACCGCCTTCAATGCAGCATGTTCGAAACTCTTAATATGGGCATGCACAATATTTAGCAACGAGGAGATCGATTCAGGGCCCGTAAGATGCTTCACGCACTGGCAGGTCAAAATCAAAAAGCAATGCTTCTGTTCAAATCCCTTCCTGAATAAAACTTTGGAAAAAATAATTGAAATAAGAATATCCGAATATTTAAGCATATTTACCATACTTTCTCCTTGTCAGTTTGGTTTTAGGGCTGGTCTTTCCACTGATACTGCAATTGCTTGTTTCACTGACAAAATCAGATCATTCATTGATAATGGTAACATTGCAGGTTCTGTCTTCGTCGACTTTACTAAAGCATTTGATAGTATTGATCATTTCATCCTATTTTGTAAACTTGAGTACTATGACATAACTGGTCCCGCATTAACACTATTACCGAGCTTTTTTCTTAATAGGCTTCAGGTGGTCTCGGTCAAAAATTTTACATCCAGTCCCAACCCCATTACCAGAGGTGTTCTCCGCTAGGTTCAATTTCGGGTCCGTTACTACTTCTAATATTCATAAATGATTTACCATGTTGCCTTAATTATTCTTCTTGTTTACTTTACGCTGATGACACGACTCTCTTTTCTCATCACTTGGATTTAGCGCCTCTCGTGTCAAGACTTCAAGCTGACCTTAATTGTCTTGTTGACTGGTGCAACTATAATAGATTATTGATTAGTCCTTCCAAAACCTGTTTTATGCTTTTTCATTCACCAAACAAAAAACTAGTATTCATTGCTCACCTTTTTGTGAACTCAGTAGTTATTCCTATAAGTGATCATACGTAATTTTTAGGAGTTATAATGAACACACATCTTAAATTTCAGCAACATATCAATTCTGTTTGTAAAAAGATTTCATACGGTATCAGAGCATTGGTCAAGTCACGAATATGTTTTAAAATCGAAACTCTGAAGGCATTGCATTATGCATTCATACACAGACATCTCAGCTATTGCTTTACATCATGGGGTAATTCATTTTCAGTGCACACTTTGATGTTGAAAGTATTGCAAAAACAAGCAATGCTACTCATATCTTTCGCTTCACGTCAAATGCCATCACATGCGATTTTTTGCCAGCTTGACGTATTACCCATCTTCCAAACGTAGGTTTATAATGTGTGTCTTGTTTTTCAAAATTTTCCATCGCACCCTCACTATCGACATATTTCCTATTGCCTTGTTGAATAATTCCAATAAAACTAGATTCGCGGTTGCCCATAACCTGTTATTACCTAAAGTTTGTACTAATTATAGAAAAATGAGCATTGCTTTTTCATCAATTTCACTATGGAATTCTTTATCACATGATATGAAAGACTTAATGCGAATTCATGTTTCTAAGACAAAACTGAAAATGTCTCTATTAAACGTATAACTGCTGCATTTTGTTAATTTTCAATATCTTGCATTGTTAGTAAAAAAAAAAGTTCAAAATGTTCTTGTGACTTGCTCCTTCATTATTTGTATTCTATCTTTTTCTTTGTATTAACATAGGAGGTCCCACCTGCGGTTTACTACCTTGGGACCTCCTCCTGCATAATTACTCGCAATGTACATTTCTGACGCTAATAAAGAAACAATGATTGATTGATTGATCAGGTTTCTTTCTTTCAAATGCCCTTGACAACTAATAGTTCATGCCTTTCGCCCTGGCGAGAAAAGTTGTGAACATGTTGTGAATATGTTGAAAATAACTGCGTCACTTTTCGTTGCAAGGCACAAAGAAGAAAAATTTTTAGTTTGACCTTAGCATAAAACAGAAATCTGTCGTGGTGGGATCGGCCTCCATATTAATATTCTCTGTGCAAGCAACTCTATAAGCAAAGACACTTTTCATCAGAGCCTAGCCATAAACAGCTTCAATAAATGTATTATACCCTCGTATCACTTACGCCAACTTTGAATCATTTTGAAATTTCACTCGCTTAAATCACATTTAATTAACTCCATCACCTTTAGTTACCTTCATTCTGACACGCAGCCAAGCTGGAATCACCGATCGAGAGGTATGATGGGGAATAATCGCTGCGGCCGCTGTCATTGCCCTGCCAGAGCACTAGGTATGTCTTTGGTTCAGTGGAGCATGTTCGGATGCTCCATTTTTTGGAAGCTTCTCGACAATGCTGCAAGAAACCATATCTCTGGACACGGCAATATTAGAGGACCTAAGCTTTCGCACATAGATAAAAGGTCTTCTTCACCGACAGAAAACTTGTATTAGCAAGCGCGCATTCTCCTGCTTTCTCCTGTACCAGTCATGACACGTTAAAGAACTTCACACTGATGTCCTTGGTGGCGGCACGGTACTGGTTTTCTTGGGCAAACTTTATAATTGCGAGCTCGAAATTTGCCATATTTATAATCACTGTAGCCTATCGCAAGGAGGTACAGTAAAAATGTGATGAACGAGCGGCAAAACCTAAATTATGAAATCTCCCCAAGCATGCGTTGAAGCGCAGACACAGAGGATGAGGAGAAAAGTTGGCCCAACAAGCCCTCACACGCCTCCAATGCAGAAAATTGTCCCTGCCATGACGCGAGCGAGCATTCTCATGATGGAGAAGATGTGAAGATAGAGGGGGGCACACGCTCGAGCAGTTCTGTCCATCTTACAACAGGTTTGGGTGTTCGGGTACAGTATTTTAGGGACCTTAGTTTGGGGGATGTCCACAGAAAAAGAGACTTCGCACTCGCAATGCTCACAGCCAGTTTAGTAGTAGGTATTCTCTAGTTTTACTGCGCTTGCCAGCTTGACGAGGTATGCGCCCAGCGCCCCCTAAAGTCGACGCACGCTACGAGATTGGCGGAGTACGAAAAAAATTTCACTGAAGCGAAAATTCTGTTGTAGTAAATAGCAAAAAATATAGCTGACCTAAGCTAGCAATGCAAACTTCTTTCCCAAAATTCAAGACGTGTCACTGCTTCCTTTTCTTTCCCAGCAGTGTCCTCATGCGATTCTCCCAGATGCATAGCAATGGCATGTTGAAAAGCACATTGAAATAACGGCTTTCATGGCCGAGCCACGCAGTTGCACTAACCAGCTAACACTAGCAGCTCTCTGCCATCAAAAAGTATCTGACATCTCGAGATGAAGGCGTGGTGTCATAGAGAAGTGAATTGGGCCTTATTCTATGTTATTAGCCTTGAGCTTCTGTAGGTATGCAGAGGTGGCGGATACAAATAAACACAGTGAACAACATAACCTAGTGATGCAACCATAGTGTCTTATGGGTCGAAACATGACAATGTGGCAAAAATTTTGCTGTATCTAAGCAGAAATGTGTTCTTGCTTTGCACCCCCAATGGCTGCATATGCCAGGAATGAAACCTATCTTTAGCAGTGCGACACAAACCTGATTGAAATTTTCATACACTGAGCACGGGAACTGTTGGAAGAAGAAAAAGTAAGTTTTTTAAATTGTTTTACCAGGACCATTTTTGATGCCGTTTTTGTCATTCATCTGTAGTTGAGACATGCTTAAAGTGAATGCCAGCAGTTGAGACATGCTTAAAGTGAATGCCGCCTGCCAGCTATGATAAGAGGCCTCTGACGTTCTGGGAGACTTGTGCCATTCTTGCCATCTCCACACACGTACCCATCGTGGCGGTCCATGCAAGCCTCTGCACAACTGTTGTCTTCTTGTTGAAACATTACAACAAAACTTTGTTTACACACATGGCCTGGCATATTTCAGTGGTTTGTAGTCTGAAATTGCCGCTGCTTTGTTTTTTAAATTCATTTTCCATTTTCATAACACAGTTGACTCCGCCAGTACGTGCTACAGTACTTCATCAGCCTCCAAAACAGAATGAACTGTATAAAATTTGTCCTGCTATCTATACATGGGAGGAAACACACATCTTCTACAAATGTCAAAAGGTGCAGTACCTCAAAGTATTTGACGTTGTCCAAGTCAACTAGGTCTCGCAAACTCGAGTGGACCAGGTCCCCTGGTGTGGCCTCCTGGTAAGCAAGGTTGCTGTCCATCTGTCGGTAGAAGAGCACATAAGCCGTGTCACGAGGAAAGCGGCATGTAAGGCCCTGCAGGCTCGCATACGACGCTGCAGACACCCGACTGTCGTTGAACAGGTACCATCGCTTGCACAAGGGATCAGGCGTCCCCGAGCGATAGACCGATTTGCGTGGAGACAGCGACTCCTGCGTACCATGTGCAAGGAACGATAAGCCCACTTCCAAGGTTTTTAAATGTGCCGACTCAATAAGAAAACTTTAACTGCCACACATAAATAAATAAGTGGATAGAGCAAAATGAGGGCAAAAAGCGTTGGAAGCTGATGAATTGGCACGGGTTCACCTTCTAGCACAACAGACGAGACACAAAGTACAAAAAAAGAGACAGACAACCACAGGATTACAAGTGATTTAGTCAGGGGCTAATCCAGCCACTCATTTTAGGGGGGGGGGGGGGTGCGATCGTTTAAAGTGACGTCGGAGAGGGGGGGCATGGTCATTACTTTTTTTGTTTTTACTAGCACAAAAACTCTATCATAGCATAAATACTGTTAATGTGCACTCAAAGGATACCACTTATTTGTCCTAATGAGTGATAGCAGGTGGACGACAAGCACTGAAGATAGAGGGAGGGGGTGCTCACCGGTTTTGGGAGGGGCGATCGCCCCTACCGCTCCCCTCTCAGGATCCACCACTGCATTTAGCATATAAAACCTAATTGATGTTTCAAAGTTCACAGCAAAGATGTGTTGCAGCCAAAGTTTACCAGCAGCCGAAAAACACAAAAAATTTTAATCGGGTGCAGGTGGGAGGCCACGTAAGTCAACATAAGCACACAGATATGCATACCCCTTGTCCAACAGAAGGTTCACTGATGTACCCTTCTCCTAATGTGGAAAGCCTCTTTTATTGTTCCACCTATGTATCTACTATTGCTGGTAATGATGTTCACATATTCAAAAAACTCCCGGCAGTGAGTTAGCAAATGCAAATGCTTGGACAGTGAAGGTTTAAGTTCTCTTAATCTCATATTAATGCTCCTTTCCCTTTGACCGATGTTAAGGCCACTTGATACACAACACCTACCGCCCATGGCACACATATATATTCTTTTAGTGCAGACCTCCTTAAGGGCGAGGCTGGTCCGTCGGCGTTGCGCGCTGTCGCCACCCCTGACGATGACGACGATGGTGAACAAACGCGTTCCAGACCACACATTCTATTTCTGCCAACACGGCACAGCAGATGCAAGCTACCCACTCTGTGCCATGACGATGACGATGACGCTGATGATGACAATCCCGGACAATGACTGGCTTGTGCAGTAGAGCAGTAGATGATGACTCGAAATGCTCTACGATGCATTTTGTACGACTGGAAACAACCGACAACTTCCAGGAAAACGTGGCCACACCTCGTCTTTGCCAACTTCAGGCTAGATCTGATACTACAAAAAAGTCATAATGAAGGCACAATGAAGTTTACATCTCAACACAACATACCAGTTATGACCAATAAACAATGTATATAAATGCAAACCACTGATCTTTACTAAGAGGAGCTGGATGGCACATCCAGTACGCGCGAGTGAAGCCACGGGAAGCCGTTGTTGCTGTACCAGAAGCGAACGCGCAACCACTCATTTGCTGTTGGTGGACCAGTGTTTCTTTTCTTTATTCTGAAACAATTCGAACCTGTAGCACTGTAAACTGCTGAAACTGACTAGCAAGATATTCAAGGAAGACGTTCCAAAAATGGGTACCCAGAAATCACATCACGTGTTGTTTTACTAGAAAATTAGCAATGAGGTATGGTTGGTTGGAAGTGGGAATAACCTGCATTTTTGTGGGCTCCCCTTTAAAAAAGAACTCGAAGGACAGGCTAAGCATAATCCTTCATTGTCACCATATGTTGGCAATACAGTTGGCTACATTGAATGTGTCTCGTTCCCCGGTGGCAAATCCTCTGTGAAACGAGCGTGCCACTGGTGTAGCATCAGCAACATTGGCATGGCATATAACTACAAATCCATTCATGTGTCCTCACGGGCGCAGGTGCCACGATATATGCACTCATTACAGGCTACCCTATTGGAGAACCTAGTGGCGCTGTGCTAGTGCCAGGCATGATTATCGGACCGGTGCAGCGCAAGGTACTGGGAGGCTGACAAACTGCACGATGCAAGCTCAACGCTGGCACATGGCACAGTGACACCATTATGGGCAGAGACCAGGCTTTTGAATTGCATTTGGAAATTTCATTCATGCCCAGATCGTAATTCCAACTAAAATGCAAAGACTGTGACAAAAATAAAGAAAGCCTTGAAAAAAAAAGTTTCTGCGGATAGGGCTTAAACCCACCCCCTTTTGCGTATATTAATATGCGAAGCTGGCATGCTACCTCTGCGTCTCTTTTTCAAGGCCACATCGGGCAGTTTTACCTTGCACTGCACTCCGAGGGCCTGTCTTTTCATCAGCTGGTCCAGAACTGCAGCTTGCAATGTCCCTGTGCATGCGACAACCTTGCAGAAGATAGTTCATTTGTTATGTATTGCCCAGGTTCAAAGGGTCCATTTCACATGTTTTGCACAAACGAATGTTAGTGTAACTGCAGAGGTTAGTAGCATTCAAAGTGATTCGCTATGCGGTCAGTCATATGTATGACAACACTTCAAGTGGAACGTTGGAGAATGAACCTAGCCTTAAGATATCGCTATCTTTTCGGTGATGCTCTGACGGGATGCCGAGACCTCACAGTATGTCTGGTTGCATGTCGTCACAGTGCCAGAAGAAGTCTGTCAGATTTCGTCAAGTAAAGCCATGGTCCGCTTTCACAATCAGTGAAAACATACTGGATAATTTCGTTGCCATACAATTTCAAGTCAATAATTTTCTTTTCCCGTGGGTAACAATAATATCTGTAGTTCTACGAGGTAAAACACTAAAACAATTATTAGGATTATGAGGAACGCCATACTGAAGGCCTCTGAAATTTTTGAGCCCATGGTGTATTTTATAGTGCCTCGACATCGCATAGTACAAAGGCCTCGAGCAGTTTGCCTCCTTAAAAATACATTCGCTGTAGCTGGAGTTGAACATGCAACTTTTCGGTCAGCAACCAGCCGAGCATATTCTGCGGAGGGTGTTGGTTTGCGAGAGCGCACAAGCAAACAATTGGGCGTGTTCAGGCGCGTAGCCAGAAATTTTTTTTTTTTTTTGAGGGGGAGGGGGGTATCACTAAAATTTCAAGAGGGCACCCCCTTAAAATGGCCATTTTTCACTCTCTATGTTACGGCAGAAAAAAGTTTCGGCAGGGGGGGGGGTGCACCTGCCTGGCGTGCTACCCCTTGGCTACGCCCCTGAAAGTGTTGGTATTGCATGGTTCGAAGTAAAATCTGCAAAAATGATGACGACACACAGAGGGTGTTAATTCCAACAAGCTTTATTTCAACACATAACAGAGGTGCTACCCAGGAGAAAATTTCCTGCTAGCTTTCTGCTGGGAGCGGCTGGTTTCTGGTGGAACCAGCAACAAACTTGCTGGTTTCCTGCTGGTCGCACTGGTTCCAGCAGTGTGCTTACTGGTCTTCCGCTGGTTCCAGCAGGGCTTTTAATGGTTTTATGCTGGTTTCAGCAGACAACGCATTGACTGAACTGGTCCCAGCAGAGTGCTCACTGGTATTCTGTGTTTGTTCTAGCAGGTAACTTGCTGATTTTCAGTTGGCTTGACCCAGTTCCACCAGTGAATGCATTAATGACAATATAGCATCATGTGCCTTAGTAATCAAATCCGTCAAGGTGATAGAGCAGGCTAGTTAGTTGTGATAGCTGACATTCATTTTAAGTAAAGCGAAATATGCAGGACAGCCATCTCTCTCCAAGATGCATCCTTGTCTTTTTTATTACTTTTTTGCACTATAGAAATGAACGCCAGTCATTATTAAAGAGAATTTAGAATGGTTGCCACACGTTCTACATCGTGCGCATTTCACCCTGTTCTCAAGTGGTCTGCACGCATGTCTAAGTTCCAAAATATATACATCGCTGGGAAAAACCCCCACTTTTATTCGCGCTTTCGAGAGCTCTAATAAGCGGAATGAATACTGCATGAGTATTCTGTTGGCACGTAAATCTTTCTACCGTATTTACTCAAAAATAGGTCGGACACGAATATAGGTCAACCCCTACTTATAGTGTTCTATAAAAGAAAAAAAAGTATTCAAATATAGGTCGACCATTTTTTTTTTAGTTTATAAACACACAAATTGAAACGTAGCACACCTTTATTTACACAGCTCAGCGCCCTAATCGCTGCCGGGGGCGTCATCTTGCCAAATGTGCAAGATGATGTAATCATCAAATTCTCGCAAGCATCCGCGACTTTCCAAACGACATCCTTGCTGTCACCGCTGATGATTGCTAGGCCGCGAAAGGCACGAAGCTGACATTTGCACACAAACAGACAGTCCCGCTGCTTTTGGCAGCCCCTAATCGTCTCATTGACACAGAACTTGCGCTGCACAGCACAACTGCTCGAGTCCTCGGTAAAAAGTATCCTGGCACTTGAAGTCACCTGTGTAGCTCTGCCGACGTGACATCGTCGCAACCGCGCACAATAAAATGGTGGTGCCTAAATAAGAAGGCGCCTCATTTCTGCAGCCCGGTAGGGAGCACGGTGCAGTGCCTACAACAAATGCGAACCGTCACCCCATCACGCCGATCGTACAATCACAGAACACCTATGTACAATAAACAAAGTGCGAGGCCACAGAACACGTACCACATTCCCGGCGTTGCTGGACATGAGCGCAAGCGCTTCATTGTTTGGCGAACAAGTGTTGTCCCACTTGCAGAAGCATTCGGTGCACTTGCGGGACAGCCGAACAACATTCACCCTCATGTAAGGCATGGCCCAGTTGGCGGGTGGCGCGAGGTTGATTGTCAGATCGGGAGGCCGAATGAAACGCACGCGTTTCGTTCATCTTCCAGGGCTCAGTGTTCCTGTGATTCTCGGTCGGGACTTTCTCCTAAAAACCGGTATCACAGTGGACATTGCGAATGGAGGCTGTTGCAATGGACCTTTTTCCGAGCTAAAGCGGTTTATCAGCCCAATGGTGTTTTCTGTTGCCTGTGCAGTTGAAGCGTCCAAACCGTGTCACAAGCAAACTTCGGGGCAGGCCTCTGCGC